ACTTGAACTAGTTAATGCTAGTTACTGGAAAACAGTGCTTCCACAAAGACTCCCACATTAGTAGCTCCTAAACTGGTCCACGTTGCTCAGCAGAGGTATACTGTGATAGTATTTAGATAGACACTTTGGAGATTTTTCTGTTGTTGTTATTATTTATTTTGCTATTAGGATTCTTGGTATTCTGTATATTCTAGTACATCATTTTTACAGCTTGCACAGAAAATTGAACTGTTAGCTTGTCATCTACATGTCGTCTTTGCTTCAACCTGAATTAAGGTAAAATATTTTAAAATGTTTATTAACAAAGTAGAGAACTTCTTTCATAGTATTAATTCCCCTGTACTGTTGACTGTCTTTGTCACTTCGCAAATATTAATGTCCTTTTCTCAAGCTTGCTGCTGTCATTACCTCTGCCTCAGAGATCTATTAAACTATTAAGAAAGATAAAGCTTTTTCCAACTTAATAAGACAATGTGAAAACCTCTGTCCAAAGTCTTTTCATACACTGAACTTTGTATTTCATAAGAATATGGATATACAGACATTTCCATAGGTTCAGTGTGTGAAGCTTTTGACTGGGTCTTGATGGAAACCAAACTTGAAAGCAATCAGACACTTCAGGGTGAGGTCTGATATGTAGTAACTGACCTGTCTTTGAGGTACCAGAGACCACAGGATGTCTGTGTTGGGTTGTCAGAACCAAGTGTCCACCTACCCTAATACTGTGTCTCCAGCAGTGCCTGTAAACACAAATGTAGGGAACAATAAGTTCAGGTCAAGTGTATGTTATTCTTCCCTGCAGAACTCTCTCAGGACCCAACTGTTTATAAGACTGTTGTTTCTGTGTATGCCTTAGTCCTCAACAGATTTATTTTTCCATGAGCTTGTTTTTGTCTGCCCTTAAAAACTTGACACTATAACATGTGGCCAGCTATCTCCTCAGATTATATGCATGCTTCTCAGAAGACAAGCAACATCTGTTGATCCAGTGCTCAAGAACCCCCCAAAAATAAAGAAAACTGAGTGAGGTACCACTCTTGGAAACCTGCAGCTCTATGTATTGGTTCCAGCTGCAAGGTGACAGCTCAGGAAGCCTAGAAACTGCAGAGCTGAGAGACCAAGCGCATTTAGTGGTGAAAGCATAAAAAATAGGTATGTGAAAACATAAACACAGTTTCTGGCTGTGCTTTTCTGTTGTAGAGCAATTGCTTTCATTCAGCTTCTGCCACAAAATGCATGTGCAGCCTGATCACAAGCTGATGGACTATATCGTAAAGAAAGGACTGTTAAGCACATATTAGCAGCTATCATGGATGTTTTATGGGCACTCTAACAATATGCAGGGAGGTTATATGATGTCAAATACACTAAAGAAAGTAAATTTTCTAGAATTTTGTCACAGATGGTTCAGTGGAACATTCAGTTGACATCCTAGAATATCCCTGCATTTCTCTACAGAAGTTTCAAGTAGCCTAAAACTGGAATTAGCAAGTAAAAGTATTAATTCTCTAGACCACAGGAAACATCTACCAGAGAAAGCTAAGAGGTACAGTTTGAGTTAAATATGCAGTACATATCTACATGGCTGGATGCACAATTCCTAGACAGACACCTGGAGCACTCATGGGAATAGGAAGCACTGATGGCCTTATCTTGCTCCCCTCTCTGGCTGAGCAGAATGGAAGTCTATTAATGAGAATATATATGAATATGCACAAGGTGGATACCTCCTTCAACATGATTCATAGTCACTCTTCGCAGTATCTGCCCCCTCATCCCAGTCTGCTCAGTTGTTGGCACCTGCCAGTGAGGCCAGTACCCCACTCCCCCCTGCTTCCCCAGTGCTCTCATCCTTGGAGATGCATAAATGCTTTCACATCTGTGGCTAGCCTGTAGAAACCCCCTCATCTCCTTACTCTGATGTCACTTCAGCAGCTGATCTGACTTGAACTTTGCTAGTGATCACACACACACTCACTCGCACACCCATGCTTGATCAGTCACTGCACCACAGACACACAGGCTCTTCAGCCTCTGGTCTGTCTCCAGTTGCTGGACTCACACGCCCATATGCATATGCACACAGAAAGAAACCCCTCAACCAGGGAAGAACTAGAAAAGAGTTTAGTAAGAACACAGGACAGACTGTGCTGTTCAGGCATAGGGCATAGACACACATGTATTCTGACTAGCCAACTATGTATATCTAACCAGCCCTTTTATTTACCTACTAATTTTTTTGCAAAACATTACTAGTATTTTCTCACTCCTTTCCCTTGCCAAATCACCTGAACTTCTCTCCCTTTCTCCACCTTTGGTTCCTCACCTAAGCATCCCATAATTAGTCCCATGAAATCCAGAACTATTTTTCCCTTGCATCCTGTAATGTGTCCCACCCCTAAGCAGTGAACCCTAGTCTAAAAGCTGACTGGAGATTCCTTGGTTTCAGTTGCTGTGCTCAGGTGGGCTTCTGTTGATGGCCTTCAGGGTATTATTTGGGTAACTCCCTCCTGTTATATTGCCTCTCTAAGCTCCTTTGTGGGTTTTTGTCATGCAGCTTAATGTTGTATATATTATGCTGTTCGATAATTGGTCTTTTAACTACAAAAAGCGCTTGGTTTCTTGGTTACAAAAGCCTGACATTCCTTACTGCAAGGAGAATTATAGAAATGACCCTCCAACAGGACTTGTCATCTGGAGGTGGGCCATGGCTTGGAAGCTATAGTATACCTGGCATTTGACACATAGCGGCAAATAGCAAAGTGCACAGATTTGTAGTGATTAGCACCCACTGGAAATCTGACAAAAGGACATCCAACCCTAGGTTCCCACAAAATTTTGGAGGAAAGAGTCAGAAATAAAGACAGGCCAGTGACTGATGGCAATGGCAAATAATAAAGGGTCCTCTGCTCCATAAAAATATGCTATCTGAGGTATGTGGTAAAAGAGAGACTGATGATATGCAAAAGTGGGACTTTGTTCTTTGTATTCACAGCAGTCTCACAGAAAACAAAAGGCATTACTCAAAAATAATAAAAAAGAGTGCCAAGCTAAGCAGTAGGCAAATAGAGCAAAGAAGCCAAGAACCTGAGGCCACTATGCACCAGTGAGCAGATCTGTATCTATTCATCAAATTGCCACACAGTGGAAAGTGCAAAAGATAAACTTTTAAGGAAGACAGATCACATGAAGTAGTTCCTTGACTTAGGACAGTGGTTCAGATGGAGGCTGCAAAGCAGGTGTAGTTTAGCAACAGCCAACACACCTGGCAGTGGAATTGAGAATAAAGCAATAGAAGAGTTTAATCTGATGAAAAAAAAGTAAAGAACTGAAGAAAAAATTGAGGGGTCAACAGTTTATTGCTAATCAAAAGCAGCTACAGGATTCTTCTACCAGCAGTTGCAGGCAAGAAGGAGGCTGTTCGGAAGATCTACATAATCAGACCTATTAATTGGTGCAAGTGGTCATTTATATGGGTCAAAATACTGGGTTTATATCACAAAGGAAAAACAACATAATTTTCCTTAAAATGTGTTTCCTAACTGCACCAATCATTTATCCATTTGGAAAAATAAGCCCCCAAAACTAAGCAAAAGCATGAGCTGATATACCTCAGTAACAAAAAGGCTCAAACACATTCAGAGTAGGAGCACTAGATGCAATATTTATTAGATATTAGTACAATATTATTAGATACTAGAACAATATTTAGACAATCGAGTTATGCTAATACTGCTAATATAAAAGTGCAATTATTTATCTAAACCTGAAAAATCCAGCTCCAAAATCCATGAGGTACTGAACAGGGCAGTCCAGAATACTGAAACCTAAAGCACTTTACCTGCCTGCTAAAAGAGCAAAGAATTGTAGGAGGGGATTTCAGACTCTTTAAAACCTATGTTTTAATGACTTTTTTTTTTTTTTTTTTTTAAAGTAAAGGAAGTTTCTGAAGTTTTTGTAGAACCATTCAAGCACCAGAAGGTCACAGTTCCTAGCTTCATAGGTGATCCATCTTTTCAGAGAAAACACCATTGTTGGGAAATTCTGTTGGGAAAGCCTCTAGCAAAATAAAACAATATGCAGATGAAAGTTATGAGGATGACCGAAAGGTGAACAGCAAAGTGCTTTTTAAATCCCCGCTTGCTGGTGTTATAAAAAGCTGAAATGAACTACAGCATTGTACAGATTAAATGATTCAGCTGGAACAGGAAGAAACTGTTACAAACCTGAGGAATAAACTAACTTTGGAAAACAGGACTCTGCCCATTACACAGGTTTTGCTTTTGATAAACTGCATGAGCTTGGGCAAGTCACTCTGACCAGCAGTTGCCAAACTAATGAGTTTATGTGTCACAGATATTTGCCATTCCACTGGCAGAGGCCCAGTTACCAAAAAGTGCCCTGCCCTTTTAAACAATGGTCCTATTAGAATTAGCTAAAAGTCTGCAGCCCAAAGTTGAGATGTCTGAAATTCAGTTATTGCCCTTAGCTTCATTTTCTTTTTTTCATTCCTTTTCAGAAAATATTCTATCCTGCTCTTTATTATATACTTGGGGAGCCTTGAAAAGTCTGAGATTTTTGAGAAGCTGTAGCAGAAATGTATTCTTTGCATATTAGGTTTTTCTACCTGACTAGAAATGAGACCAACAAACACTCTAACAGCAGGACTGAAGGATCATCTTTTTTTTTAACATGGTCAGTTTGCACTGACCTTTCAGCAGTTTTGCTGCAAAGCTAGGACACAGTGGCTCTTGAAGAATGGTCCGTTGTTCCTGTGGGAGTAGCAGTGCACACATTAGTATGAGTGCCTTCTTCAGATTTCTCCTGCTGAGGAAAAGTTATTCTCTTAGAACAGCAGTAAATCAGATCACCTGGTCTTTTTTTTTCACTGTGGTTAGTAGGTCACATACACTTAAGGATAGATTGTGCCCTCTAGGCATGGGCCTGCCTCAGATGCAGTACAGAGTGTACTATAAGAAGTGATTCCCAGAAGGGTTCTATTTTCTCAGCCTTTTCCTCCATGATCTTTTTACATCTTTACTGTCATTCTTTTTTGAGTGTCCAGAATTTCAGGAAATCCTAAGAAAATGGCCACGGTAAATAGGTTGTCGTTTTGAGGGCTTCATAAAGAGCAAAATTCCGAATGCCATCTTTATTCTTTATGCACTTACATGTAAGAGAATGTTTATCTTGTAATTCACTATCAAAACATAAGATAAAAGCCTGTGGAATTGACACGGTTTGTCATCAGCTGGGTGACTTTCCGCTGTCTCTTTTCTTCGCACAGCCCTTTGAGATGGAGCTAGTTGATTTCATAATGACAGATCTTTAAAATACAAAATGAAAAAATGTATCCCGCAGAAATCCTGAAATGTTTGCTAAATCCACAGTGTTTGTTATGGCAAGGTAAAAAAAAAAAAAAAGAAAGAAAAAAAAAAAAGAAAAAATCTCAAGGGCTTCTCTCACAAGACTTGCATGACACTTTTTAATAAACAAAAAAAGAATTTTGAACTCTGTGTTTGCCCTCATCAGCTCATACACATAGCTTCCATTAATGGTGATGAAAGTGACATGGATGCACAGATGGGACAGTAGACCCCTGGTCAAGTTAAAAGTGTCTGCAGGAAAAGTGTAGCAAAATAATAGTGTCTGTCCAACATATCATCTTCTCCCAGTGCTCAAAAGATGTTTTTAAATACCCTAACTCAACAGCAGTTTTGTGCTCTTTTACTGATGGGAATTTTCAAACCCCAAGTTATTTCATTAGGTAACACCACCAGTGTTTAAAATGTCAGACTCAAACTCCATTTCCTACTGTGAACGCTGAATACCAGTGCCTGAAGGAAAGTTTTATAGCATCGATTAACTGCAACCATTTGTAGAACTGACAAAGAGCTGCATCAAAGTATTATTCTAACTTTTAGATGCATTGTGCATCATTTTTATAACATGCAAGCCAACAATGATGTACCTTGTTATTACAGGTCAGAACAACATCACCCCAGCAGATAATTCACAGAGACTGTCACTAGCAGTCCCAGAACTTGCAAGGCACAGGGTGAGAGAGGCCACAGAAGAGATATTTCATTGGTTTTTCCATTTATCCCACTTACATTAAGAAAGACAAAATATACCTAAAATGAACAACACACAACTCACATGCAAAGAATTAATAATGAAATAGGCCTGAGCTGGAACTGTAGAAGTAAGCAAACTAACTGTAATGAACTTAAATGGAAAGAGTATCATATGTCTCTAAAAAGTCTCCAGAGTGGGTCCTGAGCAGGTATAAATACACTTTTTTTTAAATGTATCAAGTAAATAAACATCAGTGGTGATAAAGTCAAGACCTGCTCTTAACACTGTTTCCATTCTGGTGAACACATTTATAAAAAAACAAAACATTTCTGAAAAGGGGGATTCCTGCTTCATGCATATTTTTCATGTCAGCATTTACAGATTATTAGATTTTGTTATAATTTATGTAGAGGTCTAAACCTTAGTAAGAGCTGTATTTTAAGTACTTGTCAGACATAAGTATGTGGCAGTCCCTCTCCCAGCAATGACTCTCCCCAGTTCACAAAATCAGACGTGTACTACAGAGAGATAAAATAATTTACCCAGCATCATTTGAGAAGTATACAACTGAAATGGGATTGAAAACAAGTTTAGAGTCTCAGTTCCACAGCCACAGGGCAGCTATTGTTCTCTGTTTCTTGCCAAAGCTTGTGAAATCTTTGGACACTCAAAACAAACAAACAAAAAAACCCCAAACCAAAATACTTTCTGATAAAGCTTAGCAGCTTTGAATGTGCCATGAGGTCCATCTGACTACTGATGATGTGAAATCAAGCTGACTATCTCAAAGGAGACAAGTAGAAACAATTTTGCTTGTAAAACACAGAATCATGAAAAGTTGGAAACCAAAAGGGTCAAGATGCTGTTCTTGTTCCCATTGTGGCAAAAATTGTACTATGAGTAATAACAGTTGAAGAGTGCTCTAGACAGAGCTCTAGGTGGCATAAACAGGATCAGGGACACAGAGTAAGACAGGTGAGAATAAGATATTTAAAGACAGGAGAAGATTCAGGTTTATGAACTAACTATACCTAATCCTACTGTTTGAGAGATGCTTCTGCAAAATGTACCTGTTTATATGGCAGACTCGTGGCTAGCCTTTTGACAGCAAGTCAGTTCTGTGTGAACCCAAGTCAGATGTTTGAATACCAAGATCACTTAAGAAAATTTCCACCCCACCTTTAAAGGTTTGGATAATTACAAGTCAAAAACTTCTTGCTCTCTCACACAGAAATCATGCCAGCATCAGTAATGTACAACGCATTTAAGCTATTCCCAGCTACCCATACAACTATGGAAAACAATGTAGCATGTTACTTTCTGTTCTCTATTGTCTAAGGCAACATCTTGAAAACAAGTATGCATATGACTAACTTTAAACACGGAATTTCACAGATGGATCTCCTAGCTGGCCCATAATTCTTGATCTCATAGATTCACAGTAGTGAATGATTGCCTATACAGTGACACATGTATGAAGGGCACAACACACACTTTGGTGAGGTCTGACACCTTCTCTTTGTACACCAGATTTTCCTTTTATCATCTTCCACGTCTTACTCGATTCTCCTGTTCATAAGCCACCTAGCGCAAATGTATGTTACTACCCTCTAGTGGTCAAAGTGGCAAATTTAAAAGTCCTGCTGAAGACAGCTTGGGTAGGGAGTCCTGATCTCAGACTGCAGTCAGGTTTTGCAGTTAATACTGTCGAGACCCACCCCAAAAATTATTTTTTTTCTGACAAGACTGGGATCCTCCTAGACTGCAGGTTGGGTACACTGAAGTTACTGGCAATAACCCGAATGCTAAACCAGGCCACTGAGTTCTCTTTGCTGACATCTGTGGCTCCTTAGAGAATGAATTCTCTGTGAATGGCATCTTCAGAATTCTTCTGAGTCTTCTCTGCTGATTGCTTAGGTATTTGCACAACAGATCCCTATGGCTGCATCTAATAACAACTTATTGTCAATCACTTTTCAGCATACACAGTCATTTTCTATTATCAGTTCTAACTCCTTTAAGTAGTAGTGTAATATGGCATGGCATGAATACTGTAGGTGTCTGGAAGTATAAACAAACAAACTCAGATTTTCATCCAGTGTAAATTAGTATCAGGTACCACTGACCTCATGGATTACATTGTTTGAAGTGAAATCTTATTAAGTTTCCTGTGGCTTTTCACTAAAAGAAACTCCCTTGTCCAGTGGACCTTTAGTTTTCTATTGAAGCAAAGTAAATTGACACACATTTGGGGTTTTGGGTGTCTGGGGGTTGCTTTTTTTTTATTATTTTTAATTTAAATGTCTATTACCTGCAGTTCCCTGAAATACTTAAACAGAACATTTAAGCCCCTTTGATCATGAATTGGTTAATCATGTGAAAACACACTACAGAAGACTTGAACAGAGCTTTCTTGCCTGGACTAATGCCAAAGCTATAAACCAGCATCTTGGTGCTGAAAGCTGTGAACAGCAACATGAGTGACTTAGGATTTCATCTTAAGAACAATTTGTATGCGTTACTCTGCATAACTGTACATCTGGTGACAATAGAAAATATGGTGCATAAATAGGCACAGCCAGGGTTACAGACAGTAAATTCAGGTAATCACTGGCCTTTTCTATATTGAAGCTTTTGCGTCTCCCAGATTAGACTTGTACAAAAAGCACTAACAAAGCTTTCTAGGGCAGACAAGGAGTCAAAAGCCACCAACAAATTGGCTTTACTACTTCGGGGAGGCAGGGGTAAAGGCCGTGGGACAGAATAGCAGTTGTGGAGTCTCTCACTTCCCTTCAACTCCTATTATCTGCAAGTAACAAGATTTTAGCTTTATCACTGCCACTGTGGAGACCATAGTTCCCTCAGCTGTGCAATGCAGCCTGATAACTACCTTTGTGAAACTGAGAGGAGGTATCCCTTTTAGCCTGCCAAAGCCACAGTGTGGTTGGCAACATGGCACACAAAAACGTAAGAAATAATCACTGGAAAATGACAGTGGTAAAACAATCTTTATTCTGTGGTTTCTATTTCTAGTAGCAGAAAAAGAAGTCTCTCTCAGTAACATACACCTAATGAGTTACAACTGCCAACAAAGGTGGGTTTTTTTCCACAGAAATACAGAAGCACCGATTTGTGAGGAATTTGCATTGCTCTGGAACTAAAACTTTCTACTTACTATGCACCACAGAAAGGCATTTCACGCCTTTCTGATAGTGCTTTTCTGAGAGTAGTGGGACACTGGAACAGGTTGCCCAGAAAAGCTCTGGAGGCCTCATCCCTGGAAGTATTCAAAGCCGGGTTACAAAGGACCTTCAGAAACCTGGTCTAGTGGGAGGTGTCCCTGCTCGGGGCAGGGGGGTTGGAACTATGTGATCTCATGGTCCTTTTCAATCCTATCCCTTCTGTAATTCTATGTTATCATGGGTAGTACTGTACTGCAGAAATCAGAATGCAGGATGAAGACACAGAATAATCTTTCTTTTAAATTACATTGAAGTGTTTAATTTCTTTTGTTTGGTTTTTGTTTGTTTGTTTCTGTTTTTAAACCAACCTCTAATTTTGGATAATGAAAATTAAAGAGATACTGTATATTTTCAACAGAAGAAATTTGGTACTCTTAGAATCATAGAACAGAATCATAGAATCATAGAATAGTTAGGGTTGGAAAGGACCTTAAGATCATCAAGTGCCACCCCCCCTGCCATAGGCAGGGGACACCTCACACAAAATCATATCACCCAAGGCCTCATCCAACCTGGCCTTGAACACCGCCAGGGATGGGGCATTCACAACCTCCCTGGGCAACTTATTCCACTGCATCACCACCCTAACAGGAAAGAATTTCCTCCTTATATCCAATCTAAACTTCCCCTATCTAAGTTTTAACCCATTATGCCTTGTCCTGTCACTACAGTGTCCCAAATGAAGAGTCCCTCTCCAGGATCCCTGTAGGCCCCCTTCGGATACTGGAAGGCTGCTATGCGTCTCCATGCAGCCTTCTCTTCTCCAGGCTGAACAGCCCCAACTTTCTCAGCCTGTCTTCATACGGGAGGTGCTCCAGCCCCTGATCATCCTCGTGGCCCTCCTCTGGACTTGTTCCAACAGTTCCATGTCCTTTTTATGTTGAGGACACCAGAACTGCACACAGTACTCCACGTGAGGTCTCACGAGAGCAGAGTAGAGGGGCAGGATCACCTCCTTCGACCTGCTGTTCACACTCCTTTTGATGCAGCCCAGGATACAGCTGGCTTTCTGGGCTGCAAGCACACTGAAGCCGGCTCATGTTCATTTTCTCATCGACCAGCACCCCCAAGTCCTTTTCCGCAGGGCTGCTCTGAATCTCTTCTCTGCCCAACCTGTAGCTGTGCCTGGGATCTCCGACCCAAATGTAGGACCTTGCATTTGTCATGGTTAAACTCCATCAGGTTGGCATCAGCCCACCTCACAAGCGTGTCAGGGTCCCTCTGGATGGCATTCCTTCCCTTCAGCATATCAACCGAACCACACAGCTTGGTGTCATCGGCAAACTTGCTGAGGGTGAACTCAATTCCAGCTTCCATGCTACCGACAAAGATTTTGAACAGGACCAGTCCCAACACCAATCCCTGAGGGACACCACTCATTACTGGTCTCCAGCTGGACACTGAGCCATTGACCATAGCTCTTTGCCTTCAGCCATCCAGTCAGTTCTTTATCCACCGCGTTGTCCATCCATCAAATTGATGTCTCTCCAATTTAGACAAGGGTGTTGTGTGGGACAGCATCGAACGCTTTACACAAATCCAGGTAGATGACATCCACTGCTCTACCCTTGTCCATCAGTTATGTAGCCCCAACATAAAAGGCCACGAAATTGGTCAGGCAGGATTTGCCCTTAGTGAAGCCATGCTGGCTGTCACCAAGCACCTTGTTGTTTTCCATGTGCCTTGGCATGCCTTCCAGGAGAATCTGCTCCAAGATTTTGCCAGGCACAGAGGTGAGACTGACTGGTCTGTAATTCCCCGCATCATCCATTTTCCTCTTCTTGAAAATGGGGTTTTATTTCCCTTTTTCCAGTCCTCAGGAGCTTCACCTGACAGCCAGGATTTTTCATGGCCAGCGGCTTAGCAACTTCATTCGCCAGCTCCTTCAGGACCCGTGGATGGATTTCATCAGGACCCATGGACTTGTGCACATTCAGATTTTTAAGATGATCTCGAACCAGTTCCTCTCCTACAGTGGGCCCAAGGTCTTCATTCTCACAGTCCCTGCGTCTGCCTTCCAAGACTTGGGTGGTGCAGTCAGAGCCTTTGCCAGTGAAGACCGAGGCAAAGAAGTCATTGAGAACCTCAGCCTTCTCCAAATCCTGTGTAGCTAGTTCACCTGAGAGCTTCCTGAGGGGGCCTACGTTCTCCCTAGTCTGTTTTTTATTTGCTACGTACCTGTAGAATACCTTCCTGTTATCCTTAATATCCCTAGCCAAGTTTAATTCTAACTGGGCCTTAGCTTTCCTAACCTGGTCCCTAGCTTCCCAGACAACATCCCTGTACTCTTCCCAGGCCGCCTGTCCTTGCTTCCACTTTCTATAAGACTTTTTTCATTTGAATTTTCCTCAGCAGCTCCTTATCCATCCAAGGAGGTCTCCTGGCCCTCCTGCTGCACTTCCTTCTAGTTGGGATGCAACACTCTTGAGCTTGTAGCAGGTAATCCTTGAAGATCAACCAAGAGTCTTGGGGATCCCCTGCCCTCTAGGGCTATATCACATGGAGCCTTACTAAGCAGGTTCCTGAAGAGGCCAAAGTCTGCTCCTTTGAAGTCCAGGGCAGTGAGCCTGCTGCACACTCTTCTCACTGTCCTGAGGATCTCAAATTCAACCATCTCATGATCACTGCATCCAAGGCTGCCCTGCAGTGCCACATTTCCAACAAGCCCTTCCCTGTGGGTGAGCACGAGGTCAAGCACGGCACCTCTCCTTGTCGGCTCCTCTATTACTTGCAGAAGGAAGTTGTCTTTCACACAATTGAGGAACCTCCTGGATTACTTGTGCCGGGCGGTACCGTCATTCCAACAGATGTCAGGTGTTTGAAGTCCCCCATGAGAACAAGGGCCTGTGAGCATGAGGCTTTTCCTATCTGTCTATAGAGTGCTTCATCCGCAGGTTCTCCTTGATCAGGCGGTCTGTAACAGATCCCCACAGTAATGTCTCCCATCGCTGTTTTCCCTTTAACCCTGATCCACAAACTCTCTGTTAACTGATCACCTGTCCCCAGAGTTCCATACTCTCCAGCCTATCCCTAACATAAAAGGCAACTCCCCCTCCGCATCTGCCATGCCTGTCTTTTCTAAGGAGCCTGTCACCTTCCATTCCAACACTCCAGTCAAAGGAGCCATCCCACCATGTTTCTGCGATGCCCATTTTATCATACCCTCATAGACGTGCACGCATCTCTAATTCCTTTTGTTTGTTCCCCATGGTAGGGGCGTTTGTATAGAGGCATCTGAGCCGAGCTCCAAATGAAGCCGGCTCATTGGCTGGAGCAGCTGGAATATCTCTACATTGCTCTGAGCATTTACTATAGGTGCTGGCAACAGACTGGGTGTGTTGGGATGGAATGATGCCCCCCTCCCCCAACACATCTAGTTTAAAGCCTCTATGACCAGCCTGGCAAGCCTCCTACCAAAACTGCTCTTCCCCTTTAGACCAGCTCCACCAGCCCCCGCTAGACCTGGCCTACAAACTTGGGTCCCATGTTCTAGGCACCAAAACCCCTGACTATGACACCACCCTTTTAACCATTTATTAAGCCGGCTAATCCTCCTAGCTTTTTTTAGGTCCTCCCCTGTATCCTGGAGAATAGACAAAAAGACTATCCGAGCTCTAGAGCCCTTAACCACCTCTCCCAGGGCTCTGTAGTCCTTCTTTATGTTCCCCAGGCTACTACTATCTATAACCCTAGCACCCACATGTATCACCAGAAGTGGGTAATAGTCCATGGGGCTTACTAGAGCAGGAAGCCTCTCTGACACATCCCTGATGCATGCCCCTGGTAGGCAACACACCTGCCTTGAGACCGGGTCAGGCCGACAGATGAGTGCTTCTGTCCCTTTCAAAGTAGAATCCTCTACTACTACGACCCGCCGCTTTTTCGTGGCAGCACCAGTAGAGATCATCTTTAGCAGTGATCAGCTGGCTGCTTCTGGTGCGAGTGCATTTCCTCATGAGCCCCCTGCAGGACAGCAAAGCAGTTCTGCGTGGGGACAACAGATTTAGGAGGAAGTCCCTTGCTTTTAATTGTCCTTTTCCTCCCTTTTTTGTTGGTTTGTCACCAATTCCCAGCTTTGCAGGTTCACGGCCTCCTTCATTCCTTCATGAGCTAGACAGGAAGCTTGAGGCCCCTGAACATTTTGGGCCTGGTGCAAACATTCCTGCTTCCTCTCAGCTACCCTGACATCTTGCAGTCCATTAATAGCATCCTGCAGCTCAGCCACCTGCTGCAGGAGGACCTCCACCAGAGAGCACTGAGTGCAGCCCTGCCCATTGTGTACCTTTCCCTCACCAGACCAGCGCAGGCACTCTCTACACCCCGAAGCCTGCACTGCAGCCCCCCCCCCCCATCGGCTCTGTCTGGGTGCCTATGGTGGCCACCGCCAAGGCAGCCAGAGCAGAGGTCCCAGACCGGGCCCCGGTCATACGGCGAATGCTCACCGTCCCGCTCACCGTCCCGCTCACCGTCCCGCTCACCGTCCCGCTCACCGTCCCGCTCACCGTCCCGCTCACCGTCCCGCTCACCGTCCCGCTCACCGTCCCGCTCACCGTCCCGCTCACCTGCCAGCATGATCTACCTTGACCCACTCCTGGTCGCTCGCACTCCCTGAGGCAGGTTTTTAACCAGTCAGTGCTAGCACCGCCCCTCCTGGCTCCGCCCCCTGTGAGTCCCTGCTCGCGTCAGCTGAGCTGCCGGCTCCTGGGCAGGTCCTGTCGAGGACTTGAGGCTCCCTCGGTGGCTCTTGTCGCTCTGAGTTGAGGCTCCTGGACGCTGATCTCCCCCGCTCCGGTGTTCAAGGTGTCCTCTCTCGAGCTACTCCCCTCAGCAATTCAATTCTGCTATCTGACACAGCTTGAGCTCAGGACAGAGAGGTGCAATTATGGTGGAGAGTCTGATCTTTGAGCTGTAGATGGTGGTGTTGCTTTATGGGTGTTTAAGTTCAGTGAGGATGGACTACTTAAAAGGACACAAAGAGAGGCAAATTGGGGTAGCTAATAAATCAGTTGCCTTGTCATCTTTTAGACATGTGAGTAAATATAGAGCTCAACATGATTTAGGAACAGGTAGAATAGCAATGCAAGCATAAGTAAGTGGACAGATGAAAGTCAAATGGAAGAGGTTATCTTTATCAATACAGTGCTAATGACAATTCTTTTAATAATTTTGCTTTTTAAAAAATGTAAATTTATTCTTCAGTTATGTGGTATCTTCAAAGTACATCTCCTAGTATCCTTGTTTTTTGTTTCAGTCAACATACACACTGTCTGTCCCGCAAGCAGAGTCTAATCTAGCACCCAGTAGAGATAATTGACTTGAGTGAGTTTTGCATACACAGGAATCCTATTGATTTAGTGTTTGTATACAAATTGAGGAATTAAACCGTACATCCCTATGAACTGATGCAGCGACTGTTTCCATTTATATGAATTTTGACTTACCTTGTGGGTTAGAACTCATCTGTAAAAATATCCATCTCACTTCATTAGTAACTTAGAGTTACAGCACTGTATTCCCATTGATTTCCAAAGACAGAAAGGAGGCAAGCACCGAGGCCTCTGGTTTTGCTGCATGAAAAAATTGTACTTTCACCTCTAGTCTGTAAACTGGTACCAAAGTGGCTTCTTTCTGTGGGAGTCAAACTGACATACAGGGATATTATCGTTCTCTTCTGCTGCTGGCTACCTGTCAATAAAGCTCTCATACCCCACCATCACTTGTGGGCAGACTCCAAATGATGGCTTGACTTCACGAACGAAGATTGGGGAAGGGCTTTACCCATGCTTACTACAAGCGTGCTGACAAATAAACCCTTCTGGCCTGTGCAGTGGATTTTTTAGGTAAGGCACAGCGTGCGCAGAACTGGCCCCACCCTTTACACCTGAGGTTTATCTGCCAGGGCCAAGCAAGCTTGGATGGTGACAGCAAAGTCCTTAGGTCATAGGTTTGGTTAGAGTATCCTTCTCTTAGATGGATGGCCTTATAAGGCTAAACAAGCTTCATCTGCCTGGGTTTGAAGTTGTAGCTGTCCTTCTCCTAGGATGGTTGCCCGAAGGCTAGTGAGCCCATCCTGCCCATGGACACACTTTGTCTGACCCTTCATTTGAGACCTGTCTGGCATGGGAGACCCTACTGGAGGCATATGCCACCACCAGCATAGCTCTCAACCTCACAAGGGCATGCAAGCTCTTTCCCCATGACAAGAGGGTGTCCGTGAATGGGATGGACTGCAAATAATGAAGTGTTATTTGGATCCCCAACATATGAACAAAGTAATTTTTCTACAGCCCCTCAGATCTGGCAATGGGATCTCTGCAGCGTTAGAGAATGAGGTATAGTCCATCTTTTTGCTCAACACAGCAACTTAGCCACAAGGACATGAGGCAGAGTGATCAGAGTCTTTGCAAAGATTTACAGGTGGAAGATGCACTATGGAAAGAGTGAAGAGAAAGCAGGAAATACATAAAGCAAACTGGAGCCCTTTGGTCTTTCTAGGAAGAATATCACCTTTACCATGTTCTTGTCTAAAGGCACCTTAAGGAGCAACAGCCTAGGAAGGGCAAAGTTATACAAAATATTGACAGTGAGAAAGTGGTCACAATCCAGAGAGTCACAGGCAGAATTTCAGTCATGCATTTAAGTGCAAGCTTAAAATTAAGCAGTTGAACTGCTTCTTAGAGCAATTTCCAGACAAGGACACTACTTAGACGTCACTCTTGGGACATTCAAATCAGACACAATGCTTAACCTAGGCTTTTGCTCCTTCAGTGTGCTCTGAGGAAACCTGCATTGCTCCCAAGTCTTCTGGGAATATAGAAAATAAGAGGATATTGGTATGAGGAGCTGTCAGTCTCTTAGATTGTAGTTTTGGTTTTCTTCCCTGCTGACAAAGCTTTCTGTGTCCTCCTGGCAGACACTGTTCAACTTAATAATCATTTAAACCGCCAGTTCATTACTCTCATGAGTCTTCACTCCAGCTAGCAGTTTAAAATTGCTTTTCCCTGTTCAGACAAAGATATTCAGACCCCTTCTTCATTTTCCTTTGCTTGATCTCTGCAAATGCTGACACATGCTAACTTGAGTCAAGCTTGTTACTAACCTAAGTAATCATAACAATTGCTTGCCTCCCTTCAAAGAGGGGATTTTGATAGTTTTTTACTATCAAAAAAAGTTGGATATATCTGTGTTATTTGTCAGGGGGATCATTCAAGCCCAATTCAAAAGTGCCATCACAGATGACAGATCTCTGGTAGGATACTGGTTTTAATTAATTTAACTTAATCTGCTTAATGGATTTACTTGTAAGTTATCAGAAAATTCACTCAGGGCTTATATGCTATAAGTTTGGGGATGATGCATGGAGCCTTACTACATACTGCATAGAGGCTGATACGTTTTTCATTTTAAAAAAGCAATGTTTCAGAATTGTATTCAGCAGTGCGTTTGCTGTTTTTCATATTGATAACAATAGCTTCATCACTAAGGTTACAAAGCCAGGCAGCTTTAAAGTTGGGAAGTTCCTCAGTTTAAACTGATTGTATTGCAACACAATCTTATGTCAGGATTTTAGGGTTTTTTTTTTGGGGTGGCCATACCAATTTTAATTCAAGAGTGTTTAACTTTAGCTAACAAAAATTAATTTCATTATCTTTGCTGTTTGATTAGCAGAGTTTGCTTATTTACTTAATATTTATCAAATCCTTGTAAAAAAGCAATTATTAATTTTCCTGTGGGTTTTCCTGTGGTAGTCATCACTGTAATATGCCAATACTTCACACTTGCATTCTCCAACAACATTCTTCTTAGATTAGTTATTTTTATTCCCATTTTCCAGATGGAAATTGAGACAAAGTGATTTAGATGCAACTTGTTTATTCACCCTGTGTTAAGACATTATAAATTAAATAGTTCTAATTGATGCTAATTTTAGCTGCAAATTAACACATTTGATCAGATAGTTATGGAGTAGGAAGCGATTAATGAACTCGTGTCAAATATCTGACTTCTTATCTTGCAGCATGTCATCCGAGGTCTACCACAGTAGCAGCAAAAGAATACAATCCCAGAGTATCAATGTTTACCTTAAGCATGAGACTATCCTGTCTGCTTCTTAACATTCCCAGCTCCATTTGCTACCCACTTTCCAGCCTTGACAACAAATGGGCAAATACCATGTGGAACCAAGAAACAGCCATGAAATTCAAACTGGCGTATGTAAATAGAGTACAAGAATTGGGTTTTAGTTGTAATGAGCCCAGAGGGACTACTTATTAAAGTTACTAAAACCAGACTGCTTAACTCCTCAGTTATTTCATACGCTATCCAATAGCTACATTTCCAAAACGGGCCAAATATCTACTTGAATTGGTGTACGATATGCTTTGAAACAGATGCAATGATTTATGTTTCATTTAGATCTGTGCTGACAGTGAGAACCTGGCCCAGGAATACTCAGCTTCTGACTTCCATCACACCCTCTGAGGACTAGTAAATGCACAGGAAGACAATGGCTGATATTAATGCTCTCTATGGCTAACTGGAAAAGAGAGATGGAGCAGGACTGCCGTGTTACCAAGACAATAGAAACCATAAGTCAGCGAAAACTAGGAAAGATCTAACTAAAATAAACAAAAGTTGAACCTAATTAAAGAAACAAGTAAACAAACGTAAAGGTGGAGGGTCGGGGGATGCTCATTTTCTTTTCTGTTTTCCCTATGAATTCACCTAAAAAGAACTGGTGAAGGAACTGTGGCAAAAGCAATTGAGCATAAAAAACCATGGGACTGTGTGTACTTCTCTTGATTTATTATGGCTTACATGAAACCCAATATTGTTTATACTCAAGTGAGATTTGGCTTACTATTTCATGCATTTTTAGTACGATTGTGTTTCTAGTTACTGTTTAAAGAAACATGGACCTTGAGACCTTTGCAGTGCTCCTCCTTCTGAAGAAACCCTGTGAAATGGAAGGTGAATATGCTCAACCATGTAACGGAATCATTTAATTTTGGTTTTATTCTCTTTTGGGTCTTTGGGGGTTTTTTTTAGTTTTAAAAAATGAGAAGTATATTACATCCCAAACATTATATGAAAGACAACATGTGGAGTGCAAATAGTCATAATAAAAAGCTTTTTAAATGAAAGTAATAGAAAAATATTGAACAATTATGCAAAACAGTCAAGATTTATCTGATTCACTGCGTGGAGATCATACTCCTTGAACTCTGTGTGCTTTATGAAAAAATTATTACTCTGTAGAGCAGTTGTCAACATTTAAGTATCTTGGATTTCTTTTAAGGGTTTTTGCTATGGCTGTTCCTTCTAATAGGTCTGATCTAGAGCCACTGAAACTAAAGAGGAATTTTCCAGGGGACAGTGCTTTGCACCAGAAAATCACTTGCCTCTTGCCCCAAAAGCATATAGTACACAGGAGTAATAAAATGTATGTAAGTTCATAAAAGCACCTGTGCAGAGAAGACAGATGCCCTGCTGTTTATTCCTACCCTATGAACTACGTATATATGTTATTTGTTGTAAAATTGTAATCAATTCCTTTCTTTTTTTACAAAATACAGATTTGATCCAAGTATCTCCAGCCCTTACCCCATCCTTGTGAAAAGCATTCTCTCTGTGAACTCTTTGATTTATAGTCCATAATTCCCACTGAAGCACCCCTAGAAATCTCAGCCAAGGCATCTGCAAAGAAATCAAGAGGCAGTCCCTCTGGTAACCATATCCCATAAATTTAGAGATTTACCGGTTGATCCTAGTATTTTTAACTCTATTTAGAATTTAGTGGCAGCTGCTATAGACCCAGAAATACTGGTGTAATAATATTTTTGTCACGATGCTGCTTTGAAAATTGGTCATAGAATTGTTCTTCAGCTTGAGTTTCCCAGGGGCATTAAGATAAAGTGTAATACAGCTAAGTAATCTTAAAGTGATAGAAATTGGGATTACTCTGTCAGGGATTACCTCTGTAAGAGAGGGTCACACTCTTTTCACCAGATACAGATTAGAATACTGATAATAAATCTGACTGAGAAAAGCTTTAGCATCCTTTTGTTTTATCTAAGCAGTAGAATTCAGCTGACATCTTTCCAAGCTAAAGAGGCCATCATATAGGACAATTCTGTGATGTTTGTGCAGCACTAGAGTATCTAGCCCTGTCTTTAGCTGGTGTAAATCAGCTCTGTTATCTCCCCACTAAATTGGCAAGTATTGTCATTCCTAAAGCCTCCAACAGCTTCAGGAATCAAGCTGCCATCCTTAACTTTATATGTCTGCTTCAGGACAAAATGAAAGTGCTTCTTTTGATTGCTTGGAAATCCCCCATCCTCACCCTGCTCATTATTCCAATGTCTTGAAATTCAGCCAGAATGCTTAAGTAACTGAAGAATAATCTCCAAAGATTAAGAGATCTGCAACAAAAACAATAGGCAAGTGAACCCTAGAGTAGGGGGCTTTGTGATTCTTCTTTTGCGTATATAAATCCCTAGCAGCTTCAGAGAAGTTACAGCAGCAGAAGAATCGAACGACGAATGACGAGAACATCCAGCCCTCCAATTATTGCTAATTACACCTTTAAAAAGGAGGATTTTTCCAGTGTAAAAAGGGGAATTTGAAAGTGGATGGGAGAGCTAGTATTAGTTTTCTCACAAAAGGCTCGTCTTTCCTGTTACCTGTTGATCTGCTTTAGCATCAGTTTTTGTGATGGTTTTCCTTTTTACCTTACTGACCTACTCTCATCCCATATGGAAAAAAGATTTGGGCATTAGTCTTTTTTACTAGACCTCTGTAAAAGGTAGAAATGATACACATGCTTATAAATCTGCATGGCAAAGAGACTTCTCTTCCTTATAGACTGAAAGCTTCTTTACCTGTTTGTTTCATCACAAGTTTAACATACAGCTCCAGAGATACCTGTACTGTCTCTATGGATAGGCAATTGGTTTCCCCTTTCTTGGCGGTCAGTCATTTCACTGTTGTTCAGACATGTAGATAACATTTAAGTGGCACTGCAATTATAACATTTTATTCTCTTCCCTCTTCTTAGCTTCCATGTTTGCTTCCTTCAACTTCCAAAGTCCGGTAATTCCTTGCTTTTGTTTTAAGCAGCCCATCCCAAAGCAGCCTCCTTTCCATAACCTGTTTCTTTCCTGAACTGACAGAATATTTTTCCCCCTTTGGATATTTTCCAGTATTTGTTTTCTGTCTGTCATGGCTTTCAGTCAGTCCACCTGACAAATCCTCACTCACTGTGCTCCCAAAAGCCTTGCTTTTGATCCAGTGTTCATCCATTTAACCTCTGGGCTTCCAGCCCTGTAACTTGGAAGATACTGCAATAAAGAAAGCACAAGTAAGACTAATCCCTGAAATGGACTAGGTAATTCTCCTTTCTATTCTCCCTCAAGGCAAACACACTGACATTTTGAGTTAAGTTAAATTCTGGCTATATAAAAAGAAACTGAAGCTTACCTATAAAGTTTCTAATGGTTAGCACTGAGAGTCTCTCAGAGGGCAAAAACTGGGGCAGAACTTGCTGCAAATTCATAGTAAATTTATCTGGGTAATGGCAGGGAAATCATTCCTCCTCTATATAAGCAAATATTGCTGTACTCAAGCACTCTGAGGAAAGCTATTAATCCTGGGCCTGATCCATCTTGTGTAAATAAAAAAGAAATCCCCTGAAGTCAGAGGAGTTACAAAAATGCATTAAAAAAAATCTTTAATTATTACTAAGGCCAGGAACCCTGTTATGAAAATAGGGACTAAGGCTCTGCCTCACCACACACTTGGCATTTCTCAACTTACTAACATGAGGAGCAATGTGATCTAGCAGGCAGAACACGGAAATAAGAGCTGGGAGGCCTTGACTCTGTTCCTGGCTGTGGCAGTGACATATTAGGTGACAATGAGCAGATAATTTTACATTGGTAAGCCTACACTTCAACTTTGGTCTTGTTGGTCTGTAAATTCTCTGTTTTCAACAGGGCCCACTAAGCATTGTCATAATGTAATAAAAAAACGACCCTTGCAGAGACTAATTCTAAAAGAAAATTAAATGGGATTTACATATATTGAGGTTACTTAACAATCATGGAAATAACATATCAAGATATTGTTTATTGGCATTGAGATGGCATAACTCGAGAGCACTGAGGTTGTTTTATTACCCCAAAATTCACTTGTCACCAACAGTCACAATGTTTTCTCAGGATGACAAGAGATCAGTCTATCTAACTTGCAATTAGAGATTAAAAAAAAAAAAAGAGCTTGACGAAAAGACCTGACCTTAATTTAAAAAATTAACATTGTAACAAAAAGCAAACGAAGTGCATTTTCAGTTTAATTAAAATGACACAATTACAGTATAAATAATTGTGGTTTATTAATCGTCAGCATTCAAGCTTGAGACTGGCGCAATACTAATGATAATTAAGTTGCTGGTGCTGAGTGTGGTGCCTTAATAATTACATAGTAGTTAATACATAATGCTAACTAAAACTGTGAAGTTCTGCATAGCAATTACGTTATCTAAGGCTGCTAATTAGTTATGTTAATTTAGAATTACTTTTGTTTCCTGTGTAGAGGGCTTGTTAAACTGCAAGTCCCCATTGTCACTTCTGCCATATGCAACAAAACCGGTGTTCTTTCCCTTTCCATGGAAGTTCACACAATGATATTTCACATCACCAGAGAGGTCTGTAAGAGACATAGCCTACAGAATCTTACGCTGTATTTGTTAGTTAGTTATTTGCCTGGCATGTGCAGGTAGCAGCACATTTATGACTCAGGATGCTTAATCATGACAAGGATGCTTCTGATTGTTAATGTCAAAGTGGAGTCCACTTTTTAAAGTCATTATTAGTCCTTTTTTTACAGACAGAAAAAAGGCGTTTTAAGGGGCATGAAGACAATGAGGACAAGAAACTAAGCTGATCCAGAGATAGATCAGAAGCAGAATAAAAAAGTCATATGCTTGCAGTCATAATATAGAGGACTGTGTTTTAAGGCTGGGGCTTCTGAGTCAGGATATGGGCAAGGAGCTGTGAAGCCTGAAATGCCAAATAAGTTGAGCTGAATGTAATGTAAAGTAGATGTTGCAAATAGCTTGAGTGTACAAGGTCTCAAAGGTAAAAAGGAACTGAGAAAATTCCCTGCAAGGGAAAGTGAACTGGTCAAAAGGGCCAAATTGTCAATTTAAAATTCTCCAGAAATATAGAAAACAAATGGAGGAAGATTAATGAGTGCTTTCCCTGTGTCTGCAAGGAATGGATGTCAGAAAAAGGAAGATAGAGGTGCAATCCTCTTTTAGATACACCTCGAGTGTCTGGAAGTCAGTAACCTAATGTTCCTCTCTCCTTTGGGGCATTTCTTCTTTACACCCTCCAATTAGGTTGTTGCAGATAGTCATAAGATCTCTCTGCTTTCTCTTCCTAAGACTAAGAAAAGCCATATAGCTTTTTATATAGGACTAAAAAAAGCCATATAGCATATATATACATATGCACTAAGATCCACAAAGGCATTTGGGAAACTTGTTTGACTCAATCACCTAAATGCCTTTATGCATTATGGCCTGATTTCTGAACACCAGACAATCTCTTTGTTTCCTAGAGAAGTTGATTTGCCCCTTCTATGGAGTAGTTTGCACATACTGGACACAAAACCTTCTTTGCCTGCTTCCTTATATTGTGAGGATAAGTTTCTAACTAATGTTAAAACTTGTTGCTTTGAACTTGTTTGAAAAGGCATTGTGGCTATGGGGAATCTCCAGGGATGATGGAACAAAAGAGAAGAATACCTCCCTCTTCACTCAGTCTTTAGGCATGAAGGAGCTATTTTTAATATTACAAATTAATACATATGGGGAAACAGATCCTCTCAGCAATAGACAGCAGCATTTGAGACTGAAAGATGCAGAAAAGCAGGGCTGGCTGCTCTAAGGGCTTTGTTACCCCAGGCAAGCAGCAAATCTCCAATATGGCATCACCTATACATCTTCAGTGGACAGTTAGCAGGCCCGAATGTTTTGCTGCACTTGCTAGCCCCATTGACAGGGCTGGCCTTGCAAAGAAGTTACACATCAGGATTCTCAGTGACACTTTTTATCCCAGAACTAGCAGTTCGTCACAGCTCAAAGCCCTGTTTATCAGATGTTGAAGGTGTGGCTGCTTTTACTTTTTTTTTTTTCCTTTGTGACTTTTTTAGATTTTGATCTAGGCCTGAAGTTCATAATTTGTGTCTGCATATTTTCATAAAATATCTAATTGAGGACCAGATTCTGCTCCAATTCCTCCTATGTATGATTCAAAAGTGTTACATGGGAATGGATTAATTTAGTTCCACATAGGGATTTTAGAGCCTTGTTATGAACTTTGGAGTCTACACAGGAAGTCGTCAGGTCTACAAAATGATGGTTTTTGTCTTCCTCAGAAAGCTACTTGAGAAAAAATGTGAAACTTAATTCTGCCATTATTTTCCTAGATTTGTTTCTAACCTTGTTTCCCACAAAAGCAAAATTGTTTTTCAAGGAGAAAACACTATTCAGAGAGTCAGACTTCTGCTTTCTGTGAAAAGCTTTTCACAATTATCCATAACTCTAGAGGTATTGAGACCTGCTGAGAAATTTTTATTACTCCAGTTTTACAGAACACACAGCTATCAAGACAGACTAAAAACTCACATACACTCTTCAAAAAACACACCTTGCACATAGCCAGTAACATCCCTTGTAGTATCCCAAAGAATTTTGTGAGCATAAGCCAATTATATAACCCCAAGATGGGTATCTGAACTGCAAATTCACAAGCAAGTAAATCAAGACCCACAGGGTTTAAGTAACTTGGTTAAGAGGAAGTTTGTGGTTAAGAGACAGACTCTAGAAATCTTTACCTGAAGTTCCTCATGCCCTAATTACTGGGCAGCACTTCTGAAGAGATTCTCTCCTGAAGCCCTGCTTTACAACCACTCTCCTGGCTGGCTGCTGCAAACCATCCAGTCCATGTCTGAGTTTGTTTGGTTAGTTTCATTGACTGTTGCAGCATCAGCAGAGGTAGTTCATCAATTTGTTCTGCATGTACAAGCAGGAGAATCTCTTCTAGGAACCTGTCACATCACTTGGTAGCTGCATGTGTACCACCATAGATACAAGCACTTCTGTCCAGGAAATTTTGAGGCAAGCCACTCAAAAAGCTACCCTGGAGTGGGAGCTTTGACTAGAAAGCAGAAATGCAAAACACTCCAAGGGCTGAACTGCCTTTGATGAGCCATTTCCAAATGCTTTCTATATACTACAGGGTAGCAAAGTTCAGCTGATGTGCAGCAAGGTCATGCTTGGCTTATTTCAGTGTCTTCAGCTCTAAAGTCCCAGCAGAGCATGCACTGGGCCATTTTGAAAATTTGAGCTTTTGTCTGAAGACAGGTCAGCCTGCATCTTCTTCCCCTTCAAGTCTCCCCTGAAATACAGACATCTGGACTTTTTCAAAGGCAGGGATGGCAATTTGGCATGCAGCTCCAAATGTTCCTCAAAATTTTCCCCACAGCCCCCTAGAAATACAGACCCCTGTGCTCATGCTGTTCTCTATGTGCTGAAATAAGTAGAATTGTACCACTGTAAGATAGAAATGAGGGGAGGAAATGGGCCCGTGAGATGCCCTTCTGGATAGCAATGGTGCAAATGAAGCCGTTAATCATCATACTGCATTGTGATGAACACTGCTGCCAGGCTAATAAATACTCTGATCCAGCATGGTATGGATGCACAACCAGATGTGTTCTTGTCTGCAGAGGCAGCAAAGGGATTTCAAGGTCTGCAGTGGGTCTGCTGGAGACAGAGGAATTATTAACAGTGTTAGCAATTTGAATAGTTAAATTGATGAGGGGCTCAGGGAAAATGTCAGTAAATTAGAAATCATTAGAGACATCTTGAAAAGCATTAAGGTTGAGAATTTTGTTAAAGGACATGTTTACTACAAAGACGACTGAACCCTCTTAGAAATGAAAAGGCATTTTGTAATACCACTTGACTGAAAGAACAAGGGCATACATATATCTGTAAGTACACACACACACATTCACACACACTGGCAAGCTTTTAAAAGAGCGAAGTTTCAGACAAAATTAGAGCAAGGATTTGAACAGGATGGGAAGTTGAAACAGAAGCTTTTAATTGCTTCCTGATTTCTTTGGTCAAGTATTGAATATGGTAAAAGGAAAAGCAGAACAAGATTTTCTACTTGTTTCTCCCTCCTGCTGTTCTGTGAATGGAAGTGGTGAAGCACTGGGAGGGGGGATAGGGGAGACAGGGATCTGGAGAGAGGAGGGAAAGAAAAGGCTTCTCAAGACTTTCAATTCTTATGCATGCAAAGTTTGAAATATTTTAAAACTATTTTAAGAGAAACTTACTGATGTATTGTCTGAATGTTAGAAATACTTTTTACCATAATCTGCAGAAGTCATCCATCTCGACAACATTTTCTAACCTTTGATTATCACAAAGTTAATTTGGTGCTTATCAGTCCAAAGCAAGGGAAGCATGGAATTAACTTAGGGACAAATCTCCATTTCCTTCACCAACTGCCTTTTGACATGAACAGTCATTTTCTTGAATAAGAAATGAATTAGAACATATAAAGTCTTTATGATTTCACTTGTTATGGAGTGTTCCCATGTGTCTTGTGTGTTTTATTCCTTCCTCCCACCAAACCTTGTGAATGCTCCCTTAAATACAGCAGGTCCAGTTTGGTTCTGGTGTAACTCTCTGGCTTACCAACTTCCTTTTAAATAGAAAATTACAATTTGAGACTTCTGTTCCACTAATACAAATAGATTAATTAATGTTGAATATAGATATTTCTTTCCCAGTTTTATGACAAGCCACAGTAGTCCAAGGAGTACCTTCTTCTGGTTTTGAAGGCTGAACCTTTTTAGCCTACTCAAATTGCAATATTCCCACATGGTTGTCTACACGAGATTTGTCTTTCTCTCCTGCATCGATATACAACACAAGCAGGGAGGCGGCACTTCCGAAACTGCCACATGGAGTCTTCAAGAGGGAGTCTGAAGCCACCTGAGGTGACATCAGCAAGGTTTTTCAGTGATTATCACTCTCTTTTGTCTCCCCTGGGTTTTGTGCAGCTGGTGGAGTTCTGCTTTAGTGACAGTTAGCTATGATGAATGAATCATGTATGGGTTAAAATAAGTTGAGACATAACTTTATATCCTCCTAACAAGATTTTCCTTCTGTAGAAATTCATTGCACATTTCTGAATCTCCTCTCTTCCCCCACCCTTTCTGCTCCTTAGTGAAGTGTGTTTTAAAGGGACTTGTTCAAAGATATTTTAATAGAAATGAGTTGCTCTACATGCAGAGCTGCTGCTTGTCCCAGACTTATTAAAAACAGTAAGGACTTTGCACACTGAAAAGAAGGCTAACAAGCTCAAACTTTACAATGCAAAACATACCACAATCTTTCTTACCCCTATTGCCGTTTCTTCCCCCGTTTTCCCTACAAGATTAGTGGATGCTCCCATACAAGAGACATTAAAAAAAGGCAGGTTTTTGAGGCCACTTGGAATTGCTTTTCTTGATACACCTGATATCCCTACAGAAATCTAATTTGCAGCATGGGGTTTTGTAATTTCATGCTAGAACAGCATAAAATGGAAGAATAACTCATCCAGAAGGAGAGGATTATATAACAGT